GTTTGAGTTCACTGCAGTTCCAGCCAGAAGCAGGGACTCATTGTCTCAGTTTTAAGTGCAAATTCTTGGGAGAATCTGACACGCTTGTTCTGGATCAGGTGCCCACCCTTCACCCAATAAGGACAACACAACCAGGTGTCCAGCCCCGTCCAGCCCCAGGGTGCAGGTGCCCTTCCTCCTGCTGGAGGCAGTTCCCAAAGGCAGAGGGGGAGCATTTTAGGCTGGGCTTCACACTGAAAGGCATCTATTACTACTTTAAGAACTAATCTAGCATCAATTGGTCCCTACGTACCTGGAGCAAAGGAGAATGAAGAACACCAAAGACACAAAGAAAATATTAGCCCAAGAGACAAAAAGGGCCACATAAACCAGAGACTCCATCAGCCTGAGACCAGAAGAACTAGATGGTGTCCAGCTGCCACCAATGACCACCCTGACAGGGAACACAACAGAGAGTCCCTGATGGAGCAGGAGAAAAGTGGGGTGCAGAACTCAAATTCTAATAAAAAGAAACAGACTTAATGGTCTGACCAAGACTAGAGGAACCCCAGAAGACACAGCCCTCGGACTCTCTGTTAACCCAGAACTAAAACCATTCCCGAAGCCAACTCTTCAGACAAAGATTAAACTGGACTGTAAGACATAAAATGATACTCGTGAAGAGTGTGCTTCTTAGCTTAGGTAGATACATGAGACTAAATGGGCAGCTCCTGTCCGGAAGTGCGATGAGAAGGTAGAGAGGGTCAGGAGCTGGTTGAATGCACATGGGAAATCTGGGGTGGAAAGGAAGAGCACGCTGTCACATTACAGGGAGAGCAACTAGGGTCACATAACAATGTGTGTATAAATTTTTGTATGAGAAACTAACTTGAGCTGTAAACTTTCACTTAAAGCACAATAAAAAAAAAGAACTAATCTACTTTAGTAATTTATAACAAATGTATTGAGATCATGTTTTGAGAACGAAGGGATGAAAGCTGCAGAAAATGTTAATTTATATCATCATACTCACGGCGACCCCATTTGTTACAGAGTAGAACTGCTCCACAGGGTTTTCTTGCTGTAATCTCTACAGAAGCAGTTTGCCAGGACTTTGACCAGCACACTTGCTGCATGGGTTCAAACCACCAGCCTTTTGGTCAGCAGCCAATCAAAACTGCTTGAACTACCCAGGAACTTTTTATATCAGCAGAGGATAAAACACTGATCACTAATGAAAAACAGTAAAGATAATGTCTAATACCATTCAGTAACAAATATTTACTGCGTGTCTATCATGGGTCAGTAACTATTCTAGCTGCTGTGAAGTCAGCAGTGAACAAAACGTAAAAATCTCTTTCCTTATGAAGCTTACATTCTACTTTAAGTTAATGAAGAACTGCCTTCAGCAAGGCAAGGTCTAGAGAAATTTAATTAGGTAATTTCTTCAGCTTTTTTCCACACTAGGGTTATTGAGATATCCAGAGCTATAGTTTTAGGGAAAAAAAGCCTATATAAGGGATTCCTAGACTGTTAGATTTTACCTGCCAAGGAAAGTTTAAAAGGATAAAATAAAAAATTTGAGAGGACTCATACTCTCACTACTTTTTAGCTTGCCACGTAAGGACGTGAGAACAAAGACACTACCATATACTGTCATCTTTCATAGAAGAAAAGATTGTAGCACCTTAACATCACAAGAGAAAGAATGACATAATCTCAGAACAAAGGACCCTTCTTTCTGAAAAAGGACATCTAGCTACTCTATACCAACAGACTGTCTGCTCTGCTCATTTGGCAGCTCACTGGGAAAATTTTTCACCTGTTCATAGATACGCATTTGGTAACTGTTGTTCTAGACTGAGTTGGCAAGCAAAACTGATACGCCTTTTTTGTCTGAATTTAGGGGTCAATTAATCCACGTGAAGTCATGATTTGGTGAAAAAATTAATCTGAATTATTGTTTGAAAAGATAACTTTTTAGAAAGAACTGAACTAACTTACTGATTTGAAAAAATTGGTGGATGCTTTGCACAACAGTTTTTGCCTTCCCAGAATACTAATGTCACTCCAGTGTAAGTCGGTGATGACATATCATATTCATTAAACACAGTAGATTAACATTCAAAACACAGAAGTCCTTCATCAAATAATTATTCTCTGATAATATAAAATCAAACCAAGTCAAACCCGTTGCCGTCGAGTCAATTCCAACTTATAGTGACCCTATAGGACAGAGTAGAACTGCCCCATAGGGTTTACAAGGAGTGACTGGTGGATTCAAACTGCTGACCTCTGGGTGAGCACCTGAGCTCTTAGCCTCTTCACCACCAGGGCTAATTTATTCAGGGATAAGTTATTCAATTTCAGGAATTTAATTTCCACAAGGTCTACAACCTTTGGTGGAAGGATCTGTGGCTTGGTTGGGTGGTAAGATCATTTTTAAGGGTTCAACTCTGCTCTTTAATTCTCTGAATGGGGAGACTGGTAAAGTTACAAATACATTTGTTGTCTGAATAGTTTGGCTGTCTTTAAAATATCAAGTATTTCCCCCTCTACTCATTTTCCACATCCAATCACCAATCTTTTACAGTGGGAGATGTCTTAACAAATCTTTTGTTAATGGTGAAAATATACACAGTAGAACATACACCAATTCAACAATTTCTGCATGCACAATTCAGTGAAAATGATTACATTCTTCAAGGTGTGGAACCTTTGTCACCCTCCTTTACTGAATCGTCCACCTCCCCTTTAACGTAAACTCAATGCTCCCTAAGTTTTCTAATGTTTTGAGTTGCTGTTGTCAATTTGATCCCTTACAGTTCTTAAAAGAGCACAATGTTCAAGGCAGACATTCTTTACTAGTTAAGCTAAACTACTGTTTGGTTTTAAGAAGACTTTAGGGGTATTTTGGGTTTAAGGTTTAAAGATTATCTCAAGGCAATAGTTTTGGGGTTTACAGTGAGAGATTATTTTGAAGTTTTAGGGCAAAATACTAACATATTCTGCTTTTGGACTTTATCTTTGCTACTGCTACCTTAATCATTTTTACTGCAAATCTGTCTCTGGGCTCAGGTGTCTGGAGGCTGACCAGGCAAAATTTGAATCAACTGTGGTGGAAATGGGAGTTCAATTTCACAACACAACACTCTTTGGAATCAGAACTGAAATCAATGTTGAACAGCCAGAATATGAGGACTGAGAGTAATGCGAGTAGAAAAGAAGTCAGTTATTAACCGGAGGAAAGTGTTAGACAGGATGCTTTTAGCCTAGACCATGTTTCCAGTTTCCAAAACTGGGTCCTAGGTGGGCAAATTTTAAATCCCATCAAAGACAACCAGAGACAAGAAGCAAATGTGTATGAAATAGAAATTCTTGGTGGGCCTGGGATCTTCCGCCTCAACTTGCAACTTAACTCTCACTGAAATTTTAATGGGATGGCGGTGGCAAACAGGTACTCAGATACTTTGCTGGTAAGAGTACAAATTGACATAGCTTTTACAAAAAAAAAATTTAGAACTATCAAAATTACAAATGTATACCTTTGGACCCAGCAATTCTAAGTCTGGTTCATCCTGAAGATGTGACAAACTTTCAAATTTTTATTGTAGCATTGATCATTATAGCAAGACTGGAAGTAACCTAAATATCCATTTTTATGGGACTAGTTAAATAAGTCACGGTACATTCTGACAAGAGATCAATGTGCAGCAAAACAAAACAAAAAACCTCTTGCCCTGGAGTCCATTTCCGACTCATAGCGACCCTATAGGACAGAGTAGAACTGCCCCATAGAGTTTCCAAGGAGCGCCTGGTGGATTCGAATTGCTGACATTTTGGTTAACAGCTTTTAACCACTACGCCACCAGGGTTTCAGATCATTGTGCAGCTGGATAAAAAAGATTAAGTCAGTAATGTACACATACAGGCCGATGCTAAAAATGCACCGTTTCTACATCATCTCCTTAAAGAGGAGGGGATTCATGAAAAGTATACGTATTTATTTGCTTCTATGTTCATAGAATCTCTCGCAAGGACCAAAACAAACTGTTCACATTGCCTTCTAAGAGGTGAACTGGAAGGCTTGTATACACAGCTACTTTTTTCACTACCCTAAACGCCCTTTCTACCTTTTGAATTTTGAAACATAAAAATGTATTCACATGTACACGCAAGGGCCCATGCAAAGGAAAAAAGCTCCAAGTTTGGTGATGCAACGGGGGAAGCGTGAGTTCAACCCAAGAAGCAATTACCCTGCTAAAGTCTTCCCAGTTAAGATGGTATGTCTGTGACGCAGACTTGAAGTGTCACCATTCCCACCCGCAAGTCTATTTTCCTTCTATTTGTTTCTGAAATTGGCTATGCTTCGGATCGTATTTAGTCATATAACTGCTAGCAAACTTGGCATTCTTCCGAAAACAGTAAAACATTTTTGCTT